CATTAAGCGGGTCGGTTTAGTCTTTACCTTGGAAAAGGAGGGGTCCTTTCATGGTGGAGATATCGTCCCTGATTTTTCCCCACTTTTCCAAAGGGCCTTTTTACCAAGATCATAGTCGGTCTAGAAAAAACCACACTTGCGTTTAGGGTCCTTGATGAGCCTTCATAAGGGACCCATAGTAGTCATCATGAGACCACTCTTTCGGCGGAGGGAGTATCTCCAAATAGACACCTGGGACCCACCCCCCCCCGGAACTGGGATCTAAACCTGTGGTGTCCAGATTTACCTCTAACAACACCTAACCCCGCTTTACTGTTAACCGTCGGACATCATTGTTCATGAAACAACAGACAACTGACGAAAATCGACACATAAGTCAAAGAAACGTTGCCACGGAAAATAAATCATGTTTATACCAGTCTTTGTATTTGTCCGAGTTACAGACTTTACAATTTTCATTTCATTCGGAACTTATTTACGTCATTTTCATGTAATAAAAAGGACACTCTGCGTCACCTCTTCTTCATATTTCAGTCTGAACAACAGACATACACCGTACAAAAATAAACTATTTAAATGAACAAATTTTATTGCAAACAAAATCCAACTGAATTGTTTTAGACGGTCCCTGATGTCTATCTTTTTTTGAGAGCCGTTGTGAATGTCTTTACAACTAAGTACACGTGACAGGGACAAATTTATTTACTGATTTTAATGTTCATGGCACAGTTGTCAATGTTGGGCAACTGAAGTTAATGTTCATGAAAAAAACAGAAATGGAACTGAAAGAGTGAAATGAAGGAACACAAGACGTATGTTCCACAACATAAGGGAGGTATAATGTCGACGGTCGTCCACTTATACGTCTACTCGCCGACACACTTTGCAGAGTAAAATTACCACGTAAAGATCTCTCTCCTCACAGACTCTCCTTCTCCACTACTAGTGTGGCTGAGGGGCAGTTGTGACTAGGACGACTTCATTGGAAAATTGTAGAGACAAACACTCCTCTGGGGCTGGAGAGTGAAAACTAGAGGGGAGGGGAGGAGGGGGTGCTGAGGGGTTTTGTAAATGGGAGGTGATCGATCCACCACGATCTTCTTTTCTACCTTCCACGGAAACAATGTCGTCGCGTCGTCGTCGTCGTCGTCGTCTCATGTTCATATGTGTGATGTCTACTTATCCCATTCTTTTTCGGTCTTTTGACAGTTTTTTTAGTATATTTTCTAAAACAATAGAAATTGATATAGACGCCAAGGGTTAGACACCCGTTAACGTTCAACCCAGGGGTCTTCTTATAAATAAAGAATTGACACACGCCAGAAGTAGATTTTCGGTTATTTATAGTTGCTCCCACATTTACCAATTTAAGTATAAACGGGCGTGTAAAAAACGTTTTATAGATACTAAACCACCTTTGAAAAAGGAAAAATTCTAAAAAAAGAATATAAACTTGGAGGAAAGGAAAGAGAAAGAACTAGGAGGAAGTCGTTGCCAGTAATGTCAGGAATCGTTCCAGACAGAGATGAGTGACCACGCCCCCGCCCCAGAGCAAGAAGGATACTCGTCGACCAAGTACACCACGTATCTCTGTTTTACCGGGTTGAAACTCTCTCGCTTTGCAGGTTGTCTAATGGCGTAGTACGGAACCGACAGTCTCGTTCTTCTTGGGTATACACCGCGAGTGTCTCGTAGCGGCGGGGAATTCGGGGCGGGAGACTCGAGGGTTGAGAGCCGAGTCATCTTACTTACCTCTGTCTTTTTATTAGAATCTAAGCGAAAATCACCGTAAAATGTTGAAATACGTGGCTTACGTTAAGATTATTCCCGATATTTTACTCAAGTATGGACCCATCAAATCACATCAAATTTTTCAATAGGCGACTAAATGTCTGCAGAGAAAGGTACAATCAGTTACCCCTTTCAACAAAACCCGGGTCACTGAGTACCTGACTATGCCTTCAACGTCATGGCGGCAAACCTGTGTTGCTTCATAAAAGTAGTCTCAGGCCGCGTTCGAAGGAGACCCCCGAACCAAGATGACCTATTTGTTGCACAGCTGTTACAAGACTTAGGCTGGTTAGTCTTGAAAATAAATCGGAGGCATCAACAAATACCGACTTACACCCGAGCTGTAAAACCCGGACTCAACCTTTTCCAACCCCTTGGCGACCGGATTGTATAATGTTTAATGTGGAATAATGCAAGAGACTCCACAGGAATATTAGAAATGTGAATTAAGACCAAGACTCCTGAAGTCCCGAACGAATTGTACCCCTGTTGGAACCAGAAAAAGTCCCCGTTAAAACCCCAGTAATAAAATCTTATATCTATATAAAACAATTATGTTTTTATTTTGGATGATTTTATTTTTTATTTTTTTATTTATTCTTTTTTTGTACTTTTTTGTTTTTTTTTTTTTTTTATCCAACCTTTTTTATTTATATTATATGAATTTCCATGATTAGTACGATTAAAAATCCCGTTATGTCGTTTTCCAAGTAGTGGTAATATCTCTTCTGGTGATTTATCTGACGTCCAGCGCTCCGTCTTTTAACCTATTTTCCTTTCTCTTTCTTGATCCTCCTTAGCAACCTTCATGATAGTCCCTGACAGTGGTCTGTACTACTGTATTAAAAACGTGTCAAATATTAAGAATTTACAATCAGAATCGAGTATTCAACTAAGCCGTGTAATATAAGTTGTTAGCAGCCTTGGCCTACACCACATGTGTCAAACTCAAGGCCCGGGGGCCAAATCAGGCCCTTGGTGGATTTAATTTCGGCCCGCAGGATAATTTCTAATTACTGTTAGATCTGGCCCGCCGGTATATTGCACGCACAACTTCACGCCATCCTGAGGGTCTCCTCAGCTCAGAGCCTGAGCCCAAACATTGATGACCTTGCACCCAAGATGAGATGCCAAGTATCTGAACGAGCATCACAGAGCAGCACACTAAGTTTAATGGATGTTTCCTTCTGCACTTTCTCTCTCACGAAAACAGGGCATGTTTGGTTTTCTCTTTGAGGGAAATAGTGTTTTTGAAGCTGTTGTTGGCCTGTGGGAAAATGTAATCATAAGAAATGACTCTGGAAAAGCTACAGATAGAGCCATAAGAAATGACTCTGGAAAAGCTACAGATAGAGCCATAAGAAATGAATGCAACTGATTATTTAATGTTTAATGTTGTTTTTATAGGCAATCATTTAAGCTTTGTTAGTTCCAGGTTTAATATGTGCAATAAGTTCATTTCAATAAGTTCTGCAATAAACATTGAACCAGTCCGGCCCTCGACTAGAACCCATTTTTTTATTTTGGCCCACTGTGTATTTGAGTTTGACTCCCCTGGCCTACACAGCTGTTATGATACCACATCGCCCTTCACTGGATGTATAATGAGCTGCACTAAACTACATGTTAGCATTTAAAATACCTAGCCATTCTTTTGCGGTTTTTAACTCAAAAGTAATATAAAAGTAGTGTAACCCATTACATTTCAGAGACAGATATGTGTCTTTCTTCTGTTGATATGCAGACATACAGTGTATCTGTATTGTATAATTATTATTATTTTATATCATGTGCATTTCCTTTTAAACATGCTGCTGTTAGGGTTAGGGTTAAGATCTTATCTAATCTTGTAATAGAGTCATTATTCATACAATTATTATATGCAAAAATGTGAAAATGCAGTGAATCACAAACCCTTATTTTAGATTGCACGTTTCTACAGAACAAGAAGACGACGTCATTACAGTTTAAAAGGAAGTGTTTTTAAAGCGCCGTTAGATGTGAGGCGGCCTGGGAAAAGCCTATATATCGTATAAACACATTTGATCTCATGTGCAATGCCTTGTAAACATGCTGCTGCAACCAAAACCATTTCCTGATTTCAGATCAGATCACATAATCTAATCTGACCTCTGTAATAAAGTCATTATTTCCCCCTTGAGATGTCAGCGTTCATTATAGGAGAAACTTAAAAACTCATGCAATCCAATGTCTGTCATGCAAACTTATTTTAAACCTGCGTTGCTGCTGCAGCAGAGGAAGACGTCATTTCAGTTTGAAAAGGAAAACAGAGTGTTTTTAAAGCGGCGTTAGATGTGAGCCTGGGAAAAGAAGCCTATCAGTCGTCCTCAGACAGCTCAGCTTTGATGGGGAGTCCTCTTTGTAGTTGGCCTGGAGATGGCTTGTTAGTCAGTAAAAGTGAGGGCTAAATGGCTCCCTGACAGGAAGCAGTTTACACGGTGACACTCAACCTGCCTGTGGCCTCTATTGTCCCCGGCCCCATGTCCCACTTCATTACCATTTCCATAAGAAAGGAACAGTAATTGCCCCTTTTCTTCTGCTGCCCCTTCATCTTTTTTTTTTAACCTTTAAACCCCCCTCCTTCTTGCTCCAACCCTCTGTATATATGTGTCAGTGAGGAGTCAATGCAAACAGGCTGGAAAATACTTCATATTATGATTATATTATCAATACTTTACCTCACTGAGCCTCTCAGTCTGACAGGAGATCTCTCCTCCACACTTGTTGCAGAAACATCTTCTTCTTATATCCGTTAGCACAGCTAGCACCAGGTGCTAATAACAACAACGCCGGTACCAATGCGCCCTCTCTCTCTCCCGCGCACTTTGGCTCCGAGTTGAGGGCGCCTGATACGCCAACACCCTTTACTTTCATCATTACAGCGCCCACAGGGCAAATGAAACGTGTAACCGGGGTGAAAAGGGTGTTACCTTGACTTCATTATGAATGTTGTTACATCAAGGCCGAAAATTAGGATGAGCACCGCCTCTCCCAAAACCCGGCCCTGAATACAGGCCTCATTATTTCTCCAGATAATTGATATATCTTATAAATCAGTGCCTCAGTACTCAAACTCTATCTTTCTAGAAACTAGTGTTATTGAATAGAGGGATAATAATGTGTGTGTATAAAAAACAATAATTAGTTTATGACTTGTGGCAATAAAGAAACAAACGCAGATATATTAGAAGAAGTCTGGTATTTTAATGACTGATAAGACTTTAAGAACAAGGTTTCAAAAAGGAGGAAAGCATGATAACAACAATAATCAAGAGAAAAGTGCACCATTTCAGACGGAATGTTGAGATGAACCTCGGGAACAGAGAAACTCTCGGCTGTTCTTCAGCGAGAAACAAAAACACTCGGCGCTCTAAAGCTGAAGAAATGAGTTTCAGTAAAAACAAAGAGGATGTTGTTCCTGGTTGAGCTTGTTAGAAATAAAGAATAAAGTGCAGTGAGAGTTCACTTAGCAGTGCTGATGTACAGATAAATACAGAATATAATACAGCGTCTCGAATATCTAACTTATACGGAAGAGCCAGATGTGGATTGTTTTGATATCTGACTTTTTAGATTCTAATTTTAATTCCGAGACAAAATCAAGAGTGTTGGGTTTCGAAACAAACATAGGAAACGTCCAACGGTTATACAAAAAGAACATTTGAAAAAAAAAGGAAACATTGACTTTAAATCTGAGTTTCTTTCTTCAATTCTTAGAAAAAGAAATCTGACTTTTCCCGGAATTCACTTTTGGTCAGATCTTAAAAAACAATGTGGGCTTAATCCTCTTCTATAAACGTCTTATCTAAACCGTTGGGAAAACGTTAAACAATGTGAACTTCCCGGAGCTCTAATAGCAGCTTTGATTATTCTAGAAAATAAAATCAGTGACGTGTTTTTCTGCCGTTCACAGAAGCATTCAGTAAGGTTGGAAAACAATCACAACATCTTGAACAAAAAGCAACGAGCCTCCAGCATAACCACACATTGTCAAGAACTAGACAAGCATTCTTTAAAGCATGCTCATCAGCGAGTCCTTCGATCAGAGAAAACATTCTAATCAACTAAATGTTGAACTGTTCCTTTAACCAGTTAGTGATTTCACCTCTTCTAAAACCTCCCTATTTAACTATTCAAATATGCACTTTTTAGATTAAATATAAATTAAGATAATAGCCTAATGCTACCTTCGTCTGGTCAGAGTGTGAGTTCATAAGGAGGCTCAATGTTTAGGCGTCCGCGTGCGAAGACGTCTCTTGATGATCTGATGGTCGCTCTCTTTCTCCTCCGGCGTTCTGCTGATTATCTGTGAAGAGGAAAGGATTGTTAAAAGTGTAGGTCTATGAACACACAGAGAGACACACGACTGGTGGGCTGATCACGGCGAGCAATCTAATATTCAAATGGAATAAGAGAGCGGTGCAGGGATCACGTATTCACCCTGCAGGAAGCTGCTGGTTCCCTCGACAGAAGAGCAACACGGTTTCTCCACAGGATTTAGGGAAATAGCTGGAACTAAGGTCTGTGGAAACGAACCTGTTTGATGAATGCACGTTTTGTTCATCCGGATATTCTCCACAGGTCTACTTTTATAATGTTCTAATCATAAATCTAATGTCCAGAAGCTAAATGCTAACGTTATGCTATAAAGGAACTACAGCCGAGTCCAGCAGCACGACTTCAACGTCACGCCAACTTCAGATCCATATTCAAACACACAGATTCTAAATGGAACGAGTTGAAGCGTTTGTTTGAACAGTCTGCAGGAGGCAGGGACTTGCTTTCAAGCAGAACAGAAACTAACTTAGAGGAGTGTTTACGTGTTCGGCGTAATGACGTACAACGACCTCCACGACTTCTGTAGTCCTATTCAGCCGCTTGGTAACAACCATCGTTTCTCAGACACGTCAACTCTTCAGAAATCACCAGTGGGGTCACTGCTGATGGATTTAATGTAGAACAAAACGTGATCCTTCTCTTCAATGTGTCTCAACCACAGACCTTAGTTCAGATATTCTGCTAAATCCTACGGAGAGATCCCATTGGCTCTGAGACGAGGGAACAGGAAGTGGTGAAATGCTGACTCACTTCCTGGTTTCAGGACTTGTCACGGCACCACTCTATTGCGACGTTGGGAATCTTTTTGGAAGATTTTAAGCACACAAAATGAACCGTGAAGCCCCTGTTGATTCTCTATTGGCTGTCAGTGAATCTCCTCAAGACGCTGAGTAGGAAGTGGCGTTGGATTGCAGGTCCAGGAGAAAGGGAATGAAAGTTGAAAAACTAAAAGACTTTGCGGCTGGTAGAGACACAGCATTAAATATAACCGGCACACAGTAGCATAACATGTTGCTACACGGGACAGTCCACCCCATATTTACATTGTACTGGTATTTTCCGAAAGAACAAAATATATATTTCATTAAAAATAAATATTAATTGTTTCGGAATTGTGGGATTTTCATTAGAAAAATAAATCTCATATTTTTCAGAAAAATTACATTCTGGATTTCTTTAGTTTTCCTGAGATTAAAGTCAGAATTAATAATTTTTTTTATCTGATTTAATTGTTGAGTTTATTTTTTCAGAATTCATTTTCAGTATTCAGAGATGAAATAAGAAAAAAACAGAAATTGAATAAAAAGAAATCTCAGAAATGTTTATAATTCAGAATAAAACCCAGAAAAAAACAAACATTTTAACTTTTAGTCTCAGAATTCAGAGATTTTCTGAATAAAAATATGAAATTGAAATTAAACATTTATTCTCTGAATTCTGACTTTAGTCCCAGAATGTGTGTGTCATGATGAGCTGAAGAACAATGACTCTTACTGGATGTGAGGGCATGTCCATCGGGGAGGAGATCTCAGGTCTGTACAGTTTCCTTTTGCTCTTCTTGAGTCCCAGGCTGAGCGATGAAGACGAGGAGGAAGCTGATTCTAAATCACCACGACCGCTCATCAGACTCATCATCTTCTTAGCTGTAGAGAAACAGACAGAGGACTCTTTAAAGTAGAGACACTACATACTGATATACACCTGAACATCAGCAGGAGAGGACTCTTTAAAGTAGAGACACTACATACTGATATACACCTGAACATCAGCAGGAGAGGACTCTTTAAAGTAGAGANACGAGGGAACAGGAAGTGGTGAAATGCTAACTCATATCCGGGTTTTAGGACTCGTCAATGCACCACTCTATTAGATTTTATATTACTAATTATTTTCCTAATTGGGCTTTGATTGTAAATCTAATTGCTGCGGTAGGTTCAGTAGTAAAGTTATTTAATTGAATTCCCAGTTAAGGAAGTGATGCATTAAAGTGTAATGCTTTGCACACGTGTCAACTTATTCAGTATTTATGCAATACGAATATTTCCCTTACCTTTAAAGAAAAAATAAGGATGGCAAGAGAAACATGTCCCCATAAACAGTCTGGTAAGAAAAATATGAAGTAAGGTGCAGAAGCAGACGGACGGTAAAATGCAGGCGAGTAGAGGGATGTGTTTTTCAGTGAAACACCGTTTTTTGTAAGACATTCTGATATAAACATATCTTTGATGAGGGAGACAGAGTGCCATCGTGTTCATAATGATGACGACAAAGCGTACCATCTGGATTCAGCAGATGCTCTTGGTGGTTCAGTTACAGGCAAGCCACTCATAATTAAACTCTAGACTCTATCAATATCCACATGGCGGAGATTTGCTGCCACCGTTTACCTGTTTTTTAATAAACACGCTCGCCTACATGCAGCTGCGGGGACTTTATTCACGGTGACACCGACGTGATGTCTCCTTCCTGATGCAGTCTGATCTGGCTTCACTTCTCTCTGTCAGACGGGAGATTTCAGGAGACAGTGAATCTGTTACCCAGCGGGAAAAACACAATACCTCCAGGTGTGTTTCTGTCTGCTTCTCACCTCTAACTCAAACTGAAGGATTCTGGGTCTGTCTGTACGTCTGTACATCAATTTTCTACACAACTGTCCCAGATCTGAAAACATTGAGATAAGAGAAGATAAGAGATACTTTATTGATCCCAATTTGGGAAATGTTTGCGTTGCAGCAGCATAAAAAACAACAAAACAAAACAAGGCAATGCACATGAGTAGAAATGAAAGATTAAAAAATACTAGAATTCAAACATCTCAAACTATAATTCAAACCATATTGAAGAGCTTTAGACACAATATAAAGCAGGATGTTATTTACATTAAGAGTGCAGGGAATGGAATATTAAATTAAAAACACATGCATAATCTACAGTGTGTCCAGCTTTTCAAGGAGAAGCTACTGCATGGAGAAGTGAGCTCTCTTCCAGCCTGAGCTGATTTGTTACAGAGGCGGGTATGTGTAAGCAAAAGTGATTTTATTTAAAGTGGACCTATCATGCTATATTTGAATAACATAGTGTAGGACCATACCTATAAAAGGCATATTTATACTTTTTATTTTTCAAAATACCAAACAGATCATGCATTTTAGCCATTCCTCATTTCGCTCAATTTAACAGTCTTTGCATCATGGGCTGATTCTGTGAGAACAGCACCATCTACAGGCCTGGCATATGTACTACAGCGTCTCCAGCGCTTTCCAACGGCAATGTCCGTGGCTGTCTCCTCCTGATTGGTGGAGTTGGCCCAATAGCCGTAGCGCCACTTCTGTGACGTCATAGAAGTGTTCAAATCTGGATCAGACTGTATCAGATCCGTTGCAGCCCCTTTTTAAGAGATTTGGGTATGGAGGGAAATAGAGAGGGTTGTGTTTTCTGACACTTGGTGAGTTCCCTGGAACACCGGGGACACATATTCATGTAGAAAATACGTACAAAGGTGCATTTTGCATGATAGGTCACCTTTAAGCTGATCAGGAAAACTCTGAAAGCAGAGAAGGAGCAGGTAAAAAGCTAAAGGAAAATAAAACAACAGAACGAAAAAACAAGGACAGGAAAATCCCGAGACAGGAAATCAGGAAGTGCACCGGGGAAACATTGAAGAACCTTGAACACAAAAAGTCACCTCTACTAAGTTTACCACTAAGTTTATTTAGTAGAGCATCTTCCTGGATAATTCAAGATTATGAAAAGTTAGATACCATCTGCTGGAAGTAGCTAGACCCTTCGTACTGACTGCTGCACTAAAGATACATAATAATAATAAAGCTTTATTGATATCGCACTTTTCATACAACACCTGCAGCTCAAAGTGCTTTACAAAATGACACATCACAAGTTCAAAACAAACAACAAGAAATTCCCCTCAGATTATTTGTTAAGAACTTTAAAAGGTGCATGCAGCAAAATATAACATGTTATCAGGTTACTGGAAACAAAGAGGTATGATCATCACAAAATAAAAATAAACGAAAAAATAATGGACCACTGAGTCGATGCAACAATATTAACAATATAAAACCCCACATAACAAAGTGAATATATATGAAGGAAGAGATGAAGGTGTGTGAAAGCATCAGCACACACACTATTGAGACCGTAGTTTTAAACCAACACTGTTTTCATTTCAAGTCTGATTGAGTTTGGAGTTTCCTTCCAGCAGCGGCAGCAGTAATAGGATGTGTTAGAAATAAGCGAACCTCACAGATTTGGCTGACATTTTTTGGCTGGATGTCTTTTGGCCTGAAGATCTGATAGAATTTGGAGGCAGTCCTGGTCTGGGATCTCTACCATTAGAAAAGTGTTCATCCGTTGCTGTTGTGTGAGACTGAACGATAAGGAACACTGCAACCAACTGGATCAAAGCACATTAACTCCAGCAGAGGTTTTATGAGTTATAGATCCAGTTTCACGTAAAGAGAGGATGGAGGTGTAACGACCCTGATACTTCACTGTTACATCTGGAGAAGCAGCGTACAGTTATTATGCTGCAAACATCTGGGGTCTCAAACTCAATCACACAGTGGGACCAACATTACAAAATGGGTACTAGTGGAGGGCCGGACTGGTTACAATGTTTATAGCAGAACTTATTGAAATGAACTTATTGCACATATTAAACCTAGGAACTAACAAAGCTTCAATGATTGCCTATAAAAACAACATTAAACATTAAATAATCAGGTGCATTCATTTCTTATGGCTCTATCTGCAGCTTTTCCAGAGTCATTTCTTATGATTACATTTCCCACAGGCCAATAACAGCTTCAACAAACTATTTCCCTCAAAGAGAAACCAAACCTGCCCTGTTGTCGTGAGAGAAAGTGCAGAAGGAAACATCCATTAAACTCAGTGTGCTGCTCTGTGATGCTAGTTCAGATACTTGCGCCGCCCCCACACACACTTTAAGTTGCCCCTGTGGGCGTCGACGACAAGTCCGCTTTGTGTCGACAACGCGCGCAGGTAAGTGTTTGCCCTGCAGGGATAGTGCGCTTGAGGCCTCTTCCTTGCAGGTGAACGAGAATTTGATTAAAGGGACGGACGAGCACCCAAAGCGAACGCAGAGGTACGAAGGGACCTCCCTTCCCTGCCTTTGTGTCCCTTTGCTGCGTTCACTCCGCTTTTTCCTAAAGTAATTGGCTGGACTACTCTGCCCGGAGACCTGCAACAGTGCTACGGACAGACGCAACACAGGAGCAATCTAGACAGACACCAAGGACAGCAGTCAAAGGGTCACCACACAGATTAAATTGGGCTAACACAAGTGGACCCACAGTGGATCCGCCTAAAACGCCCCCCCGTCCCCCCTGTAACGGGGGGGATTCACCCGACTTTATACAATGTCGTTAATGAGTGCAGCTTTTGACAAGGTTATGGTTTATAAAGCATTAGTTATCAAAAGTTAATTGCCATTCCTGTTGGCCAATTTATTATACATCGCACAAAGTTCATTGGTTCCCTTATATCATCAATACGTTTATTCATATTTACAGGTGTCAATACTACTGCAAAATGTCAATACATTACGTGACAACAAACCCCCCGTCTCTGGTGGGAAGGTATTACTCACTACACACATGCGCCGGGTACTCCGCACGTACTGCCCTGCTCAACAAACACATACACCTTTTCAGTATGAGTCGGACGCCACTCGGCGACCGAAATAAGACGATGACCATAGAACTTCGTGGGGTGCGTTTATCAACCTTGACACAATGACTCGCAGTCATTTTTTCCAAACGGGGGGGTTCGCGTTTTATAGTTTGAGGCGATACGGATCAACAGGGGACACAAAAGAGGAGGAGGGAGTCGACACGAGAACAAAACATACTTAATCAGACACACCATAAATTCAAGACAAAGAAGACAACAGGGGAAACAGCCAAGCAGAACACTATACCGAACAAGGAGACTCACAAGACAAGTCAGAAACGAAATGCTCAAATTCGGCGGAACTGTTATTTCCTCGATAAAAACAGTGGAAATTAGACGTAAACCAGACGGAAGGATGTGTGTAGCATTATACTATTGCACGGTAGGTGTAGTCGTACGAAACTTCGTTCCTATTCATCTTTATTAGGTGAGTGTCCTCCTTAATTAAACCGCCTACCGAAAGCTACTGGAGGACTTCTGACTAGTCATGACCTCCACATTCTAGTAATCTTTCTAGTATGTCTCCTTGATCTCTACGACCCTCAGACGTACTCACATTGAAAATAGGTCCGTTGGTTGACCTAGTTTCGTTTAACAGTTGAAGTCTGTCTCAGAATCACTAGAGACTATCTACTGACAAAGTGTCATTTGACTTTCTCGTACCTTCACAGCTCCAACTAATTACTCAACGACGTCACCTATTGTTACGTCGCATTTCAATAATACGACGTATTATAGAGACTAAGTTGAAGGTTAGTGCATCCGCAGTTCTGTTGAAAAGTTTACCATGGTAGTTTCGTTCCGTTCAAGCTAACTAGTGTAGAAGTTAAAATTCTCGACATGTCTTTACTTTAATATGATAATTCTCGTACGTACTTGATTCTTTCGTACTGTAATTTAGTCATAAATGTCTTGTTCTACTTATTGTGTCCATATCTATGTGTACTTAAGTAAAGATAATATCGGATAGGTCTCGGAAAGGAGTCAAAGAGTTACTTGCCATGGAAAGTAAAAAAGTCTAAGGGACTTTGTTTTCTAAAAGTGATATCTTAATAAATTCGGAGTGATCTCTTTGGCATGTCTCGTCACAGCTCTAGCTCTCTTATCACAAGCTTTCGTTGTCGGCTATCTATTTTTAGTCAGCAAGTCGGAACACTGCGGGCGAGTCTATGAACCCGTTAGGACTTCCAACACACTTCCAGTAGTACAACGATCTAGATGGTACAAAGCTTCATCTTGGGAGTCCCTACGTTACTCCACACGCCCGTTGATATGCCTCCCGGGCAGTTTCTATTAAAAGATTAGTGATAATCCTAGACCGGGAGGCCATATAAACGTGACGTGTGGAAGTTAAGGGTAGGACTCCCAAGGAGTCGAGTCTCTCGGACTCGGGGTTAGTAAACTACTGTGAACGTGGGTT